TTACCTATGGCCCCAGGTATGTTCTGGTACAATATACTCGCGTGCCCTAACCCTAAACCCTACCCTAAATCCTAAGCCCTAAACCCTAAATCCTAAACCCTAAACCCCAAGCCCTAAATCCTAAATCCAAACCCAAAAATTCGCCAACCTTCCATTTCCAAACCCAAACCCCAAAACCCAAACCCCAAAACCCGAACCCCAAACCCTAAACCCCAAACCCCAGCAGGAAAGCATCGATTCGTAACAGCTCCAGGTGGAGGTCTCCGCTGAGGAGGAGCGGCCTGAGGTGAAGGCTGAGGAGGCGGCGGAGGATCCCAAGGACTGGCGGTGTGTTAAGGATGTAGGTTTAGGATTTAGGATTTAGGGTTTAGGGTTTAGGATGTATATAGGGATAATGGAGGGATTAAATAGGTGATAAAGTCGTTATATGGGCATAATGGAAAAGAAAATGGAAACTACTATACGGAGTGTAGGGTTTAGGCTTTGGGGTTCAGGTTTTAGGGTTTATGGTTTAGGGTCGGGTCTAGAGTCCAGAGTTTAGGGTTCAGGGTTTAGGGTTAAGGGCACGCTAAGAGGTAGGGTGTAAGGTTTGGGGTTTAGGGGACAGGGTCTAGGGTTAAAAGGCACTCTAGGCGTTTAGGGTTTCGGGCTGTACTGCATGGTAGTTTCCTTAAATGGGGGAACCCCAATATAGACCCCAAACAAGTATAGTCCTTAGATGACGACACCCCAAAAAGTACCCCTGATTTAGGTAGACCCCTAACGGGGGTTTAGGGTGAAGGGTTTGGGGCTGAGGATTAGGGGTTTGGGGTCTGGGGTTTATCTTTCTATATGAAGGGACCTATTCGGACATTATTCTTGTAACCCTGAGCTTTTCTTGCACGAGTTTCTGGTTTTGCTTTTCAAGTAATTATGCAATCCTCGTTTCCTGGACTGGCGGGTTGAGGGTTTGGGGCTTGAGGGTTTGGGCTTGGGGTTAGGGCTTAGGGGTTAGGGTTCATTGTTTAGCCTTCAGGGTAAGCTTATGGAAGACAGGAATGTATCCCTACTATATACTCCCTGAGAATTCGTCCCTCTATTCCGCCCTTTCATTCCCCACTAACCACCAGAGGGGAGGGTCTCGGCTTGAGGTTAGGCCTTAAGGGGGAGGGCGGAGGTAAGCCAAGGGTTAAAGATTCATGGTTCACGGTTTGAGCTAAAAAGGCTGTGATGTACCCATAATATTCCAGTTCATTTTCCTTTTTATCTTCCATTTGATTGTCCATATTTGGGGTAATCTCATCCCTATGTAACCCCCAAAATACACAATAATGTCCCCATAATATGCGGCAGCAGCGGCTCCAGCAGTTGTAGCTTAGTAGCACTAGCTGTAGCTGTAGAAGTGGTGGCGGCGGCTGCAGGAAGAGGAAGAGTAGTAGCAGCAGTAGTACTGCTACCACGCTGCTACCAGTCGTGGTCAGAGCAAGAGCAATCAGAATAATTGTGGCAAAGGCAATAGCAACAGTAATGAGTAGTAATAAGCTACAAAAGCATTAGTAATAGTAATGGTGGAAGAGGAAATGGCCACAGCACTAGCAGGTAATGTGAGAACCAGAATACCCCACTCCTTCAGCCCCAACGAACCAGCAGCCCGAGGATCGCGATGAGCTGCACGGGCAGTCTGTGGTTCTGACTGGCCTCTCAGGTTCTCAGCAGGCTTTCAATGGCGAGGTCGCTGTTGTGGTGAAGGCACGTGGCGACAAGCAGAAGTATGAGGTGGAAGTGAAGGGCCAGGTGGTGAAGGTAAAGGGAAACTGGATCCTGCAGCAGTATGTTTTGCTGCTTTCTTGATGTCCTCAATTGTTCTGGCATCCTCTTTCAATCCATGAATTGCTCCCTCCAGGGAGTACGCATCAACTCTAAGGCAAGGAGCACTTGCTACAGGTCTCCAGCAAGGGCTCCTTAGTAGCTGGTGCCTTCGTTGCCATCCGGGGGCTTCGCAACCACGTGGAGCTCAACGGCTGCGTTGCACGAGTGGCAGAGTGCCATGAGGAGTCGCAGCGATATGAGGTCCGAGTGCTGGGTTAGAATGGGAATAGCTTAATATTAGGGTTATATAGGGTTATACTGGGGTTATATAGGGTTATATTGGGATAATAGAAAATAAGATGGAAAGTATTATAATATTAGATATGAGGTCCGAGCTCTGGATAGTGGACAGCTCTTCCGCGTGAAGAAGGACCGAGCTTTTCAGGATCCAAGAGTTTCATGCAGCTATCATCCCTGTTGTCAGTAGCATTGCGGCTTACTGTAATTCCCAGTCAGCTGGTTGAATCTGCGTTTTCACAGCCCACCCCCAAATTGAGTGTGCCCTAGGCAACCAGCCGGGGTCCAAATTGAGACTGTTGGGTATTCGTACAGGGCTTAAGATGAGGGTCGTCATCATGATCATCATCTTTTGTTACTTGAGTGTCGGCCTAGGGAAACTTGCGGTACCTCACAAGACAGAAGGCCTTTGCCCCTCCATCATGTTACCTCGCCATACTCCCTGCACTTAACTTACATCCCATGCAATATTTCGTACTTTGCATTTAGCCTCGGCCCTGAAACCTGGATGCATTGACAGGTTTTTATAAGCAGGAGGTTAGGTGAGACTCTCCCCGAAACTCCAAACCAACACGTAAATCCTAAACCCTAAACCCTCGAACTGAAGGACAATGTGATCCTCATCGAGACAACTCCACAGGTCTTGGCCGCGTCGGCTGCTATGAAGGAGAATCGGGAGCCCAACGTGTCACCCCGCCACTGGGTTGAGGAGTTTGGTTTTGGAATTGATGGGTTGAGTTTAGGGGATTGGGTTTAGGGTTTAGGGGTTTAGGGTTTCGGGTTTAGGGATTTTTTGCGGTTTAAGGGAAGCATGGATTCGGTTAGGGGTTCAATAGAAACAAAGAATTGTGGTTCCCAGGCTTGCCTTTCTTTGCTCAATCCTGCTTGGCTGTGCTACGTACAGGAAAGCCAAATGCCCGCACAAACACTAAACCCAATCCCTGTAATTCCTATAACATCCTTATGCCCCTCTCACACCCCTATATATGTTAGCTTCAAGAAATAGGGGGCAACATAGACCCCGAATACTGTAATTCCTATTATAGAGACTCCAAAAAAGCAACCACTGTTTTTTGGAAACCCCAAGCCCTGTAAATCCTTAGTTTCCATTTCATTTGTATCTTGTCTTCCTCTTGATTCTCCATTATTGGGATAACATATCCCTATATAACCCTCACAACCCGTAAACCCTAAACCCTGAACCCTAAACCCTATGTAAGGCTCATAACCCCTAAGCCCTAAGCCCCTACACCCTCATAACAGCCCCTGTATTACCAAGGTAAGGAGGGATTGCCACCCACCGGGGAGGGCGACGATGTGCTCGAGGTAGGTTCCACCGTTGAACTGGTCGGTTTGAAGACCGCCCAGGCGTGGAGAACAGATTGACCTGGGTCAGTTTAGGATTTAGGGTTTAGGATTCAGGGTTTGGGTTTAGGTATAGGATCCAGGGTCTAGGTTTGAGTTTTGGGTTTTAGGGTTTAGGATTTTGGGGTCCCTTTCAGGGATTATGTGGAGATGCCTCGGGTAAGGATTCGACGCTAGCTGCGCCTGCTGCATCATCAATACCACCCTCCTGTGATGTGTGAAGACAAGCATGCAAATATACTGTGGGCTCCTACAACTAGGGTTTAGGGTTCCTAGACCCTTCATGTACCCTCCATATACCTTAAATACCCATTATCACGTACCATATACGCCTATTTAAGGGTACAAGGAGGGTTCTGGTTTGGGGATAGGGTGGACACTATAATTTGCGAATCGAGATGTCCTAAATTGCTGTTGTAACTGTGCCCTCTTTTCTCCGTGGGCCCTGTTACAGGGCAGCGGGGTTGGTAACTTGAGGATTAAGATTCTTCAGCTGCACTTGAGCTCGTCAATCTCCCAACCATATGCTGCCCTCAGCGCCCTTCAAGGCATACAACGGGCAGCAGGCAGAGGTCCTTTCCGTAGATCAAGTCCGAGGCAGATATGAAATCCGACTTGGTGACGGCAGTGTGAAGACAATCCGGGCTGAAAACGTGCGCCTGGTTGCGGGCAAGAGTCCAAGAACAAAGCGGGGCAGAGACAAACTAATGTAGGCCTCGGCGAGTTTCACTGGAGAATTCACCCATGTGCTTCGCGTTCAATCTGCAGGCACCGGCTGAAAGATGTGAGTACAAAAAAGGACCGCAAGTTCAGCTGTTTATTTGTGGACTTGTTGCAGAAGGTGTTGGAGTGCAGATGTAGCAGCAAAGATCTTTTGTCTCTTGAATTCTTGCACTAGAATTCATCGGAAGCAAAAACACTGCCAACCACAATGTAGTGGTATGTGGGCAACAAAGGTTTCCCTGTGAGAGCCCTGAAAATGATAGGATCCTTGCTGTATGAATTTGAGCATGCAGGAAAGATCCGTAGTTTGGAGAAACCCCTACGTGGAACCGGATCTCAATTTTTCTCGCAGCCGCAGCAGCATGGAGTCGGAATCGCAAAGGGAAGTGCGATCCCATGTTTTCTAGGGTTTCAACGCGTCATAAGAAGTTCATACGACTTGCAACTACTTTTCAGAGCAAGAACATATTCCTGCCCGGCAAGAGAACAACAAAGAATACCCGGCCAATTCTTGTTCTGGTTTTCAAATAATTAGAATGTCTAACTGAACCCCTGTGCCATTTTATGTGACCCATCTCAAAACCCTAAGCTTGGTACCGGAGGTTTCCCAAATACACCTGTTAATCCCGACCCCCCCCCCTTTCTAGAAGTGACTCTTACATTTTTGGAAGGTTGCATCTATGCCCACATATGATCACTACTCAGGTCGGAAAGCAGAAAGGAGTGGAAGTACCACTCTTCGCTCCGATCAACCTTGAGGATCGATTGCGCGATTCTCAGAGGGTTTATGTGTAGCTATAGGAATGGTATGGTAAGTACTCTGCATGACCCCTCCACACCCCATACCGGGAAGTAGGGACTTTATTATCACATGGTCATGCAGGGTTTTTCGTATCAACATCAGCAACATAGTGGTGGTGGTGGCGACGGCAGCGCCGGCGGTGGTGGCGGTAATGGTGGCGGTAATGTGGTGGCGCAGTGGCGGTGGCAGCAGTGGCGGTGGCGGCAGTCGTGGCGGTGGCGGTCGCGGTGGCCGCATTCGTGGTGGTGGTCAAGTAGTGGTAGTCTGAATGCCTAGGCAGAAGAATCTAAGTGCCATCATATGGGAACTGGCTCTTTTGAGCACGATGGTAGTTCTTTGCGATGCGGAGTGGTAGTGAGGTGGATGGCAACGCGAGCAGTAGCAGACATGATCGTATGAGAACTTCATTGGTAGCAGCAGTGGGGAGAGGAGCAGGGAGAATTTGTAAAGCAGCGGCACTAGCATGGAAGCAAGAAGTGAGAGCGCTCTACTGTTGGCAGCTTCCTCTAGCAAAACATCTTAATTTTTCAAAGGGCAGGGTTTGAACCCCTACATTGGCCCTAGGATCCCCAGGTCCATGTGCGATAAGAAGAACATCTGACTGCTTGACCAGCAACTGAGGTTGCTCAAGAACTTTTGGGGAACTCTGGACGTATCAGATTGCATTCGGGAGTTCATTTCGAGACAGAAATATGCCACCAATTAGCCCATTCAAGCTTCATATAGTCCCAAATCCCAACCAGGGCTCTTGTCGAATCTGGTGGTATACCCCTGGACTCACGGCAGCCCTCCAGAAACGCCCTGCATACCTTAAACCTTAAACCCTATGGTAGTTTCCATTTTTCCAGTATCCCATATAACCCCCATATCACCTATATAATCCCTTTATACATCCTAAACCCTTAACCCCTAAAGCCGAAAGCATATTATAACCTCTATATAACCCCTATATTAACCCTAATATTCCCCCTTCCAAAAGCCCCTTGTTGCAACTGAGGCTGGGTTTCCGAGATATTTTAGAATGGGCCAAAGACTTTAGGATGATGCCCATTCGTCGGGAGCTCAGCTTCTGACTGCCTGTTTAGGGTTTGGGGTTCAGGGTTTAGGGTTTAGGGTTTAGGGTTCAGGGTTTAGGTCTCGAGTCTGAGTTTAGTAGGGCTGTTCAGGGTTCAGATCTTAATCTTTGGGTTGCGAGAGTTTATCATGGATGCCCCTAATTACCCCCACCCACTGGTTCCCCCGTAGTGTGATTTGATCAGCCTGAAAGTAGCGGTTGACCAAGTTCACCCAAGAACCCCTTGGCGAAGGAAGATGCATGCATGTACGATAGATCCGAATGAGTTTTCTCGATATGAGCCAGGGTCGAAATTACCGTTGTGGTAAAGTAGTAAAGTGTTCAATGCTTGGAAAGAAGTTGAACCACTGCAAGACGCTACGGGGCACCCTAGAAAACGATACCCCAGAACGACACCCTCCAAACCTGCAAAACGGTACGGGGCACCCTACATGAGGAAATATTGGCACCAGCCCACATCTCAGGAATATTTTGGATATTGCCCACATTCAGTAACCGTTGGATCATATTCGTAAGAGAATGAACCTACAAAGCCCTGGGGTAATATTGTCCCTATAGACGGTTATTCGATGGGGGGCAGTACCCCTCCCGTGGAGGGGCTAGGCTTCTTGTCTTGCAATCGAAGAAGCAGTCCCCTTTTTCGGATGAAGCCTGCTTGTTGAGAGTGCACTGAGAGTCCTACCCTACTGGTTAAAATCCCAGACACTTTGTTGGTTATTTATCCAGGTCTGCGCTAGGGCTACATGCCATAGTTACATGGAAGTTTCCGGAAATGCGTGTTCCCAACATAGACTCCCAAATACTAGAGCCCTCACATAAGGGACCTCTATTTTGTGGAAACCTCCATGTCATCAAGAACCGCATCTACCTCGAAATGCAAGCAGCTAGAAGAACAGCTTGAATGAAGCCAAGATAAGTTTTGTACCCCTGAGTCCCCAAAACCTTGGCCCACCTCAACGCAAAGGTCAAAAAATGATATCGTTTCCCTGAACCCTCCTGAGGAACCAGCAGGCTTCGCGCTGTCCTTGGTTCGGCTGATTGGGGTTCGGCGCTTACGGTCGGCTTTGGGTTCAGGCTTAGGGTGCAGAATCTAAGGGCCGAGGGCCTCTTCCTTAGGATCACTTGGAGGGTCATGGAGACTTAGTAAGTAGGTTAATAGCCCCTATAAGCCATATAAGAACCCCAACTATCCCCACTATTAACCTTCTTGCTACGTCCTTCTGACCCTCCAAGCAGGGTCTATGGACGTCTTAGGATTTTAGGGTTGGGAGCTTAGGTTCTAGGGGTGTAGGGACCAGGTTTAGGTGTCTACGGGAAGGGGCTTGGGGTATAAGGTTCAGGGTTTTGGGTTGAGGGCTTGGCGTCCAGGGTTATAGGCTTATAGAGTGAAGGGTTTAAGATCAAGGGTTAAGGGTTTAGGGGTTCATGGGGTTTGGATTGAAACCTGAACCCTGGGAAGTAAGGTATGTTTTAGGGCACCCAGAGCGGTGCAAGCTTTCCTCCATGCACCCTCTTCTCAGGAGGCTTGGCAAAATCATGACATCCTAAACCCCTAAACCTTAAACCCGAAAACAAAAACCCCTAAACCTGAGACCCTAAACCCTAAACCTTTCTAAACCCTAATTAAACCCTAAAGCCACCTTTGGGGTGTGTCTGAAATGGCGATGCAGACTGAGGAGTGCCGAGGCGGCAATTAGAGCGGATTTTCGCGCCTTGGCTGCACAAGGGGTTCCTCGGAATTCTAAGGGTATAGTAGTACATTATAGTGTATCATTCTAGCAGGATATAGTATGCTATAGTATGTTATAGTATATTATTCTAGCATGAGATAGTACAATATCGTATATGCGAGTATATTAGTCTAGCAGAATATAGTATATCATAGTATATTAGTTGGGAGGGCAAAGCCATTGCATGCTGGATATCAGGGTTGAACAAGACGAGATTGTGGTCCTTTTTTGGGGCCGCTGCCATATGCAGCGAAGTTCAGAGATTCGCCCCATTTTCTCGGAAAGACATGAAAAGCAGTATGCCAATCCATGTCCTAAGCCCAAGACCCTTAACACCTTGTCGGTCAAGCACAAGTTCTGGCGGGGTTTTCAAGGTTTTGCCCACCACACACCAAAAAAGCCCAGTATCCCTTTCAAATGCAATGCACTTCAACCTTTCAATCTATTGGTGATTTGCAGCATCTTTGTTGTGGTCCTGGCATCTAGGAAAGGCTTCCAACGTCATTTTAGTTTGAGGTTTCGGGTCCTTCATAGGGGCTGCCATGCTCTCCTTACAATCTCACATTTTCTGGGGTGCCTTAGGGCCCCTGATCTCCACCGATTTTCAGAAAACCAAACCTATAGCTTAGGTGGACGCCCCACCCAGTAATAGTGACTATAAGGGATAATAAGGATTATATTAGGGTCCTCTTCTATTCCTGTTATCACTATTACAGGCTGGGGGTCCTCCTAACCTATAGCAGTCAGCATGCTGAGGTGACTGTTCATGCCGGCAATATGCCTTGGCATGAGAAGTTTGACTCGAAGATCACGTGCCCCACCTGCCCAAATCCCGTGTTGAACTTTTGCATATATACATATATATGAATATGTAAGTATATCTTATGCGCACACACACACACACCTAATTTGTATGTATGTGTAATTGTGTACATCTGGTACATACATATGTATATACCGTGCATATAAGCCGGTCTGTTCATTGCAAGCTTGTGGATGTTGCAGCACCTGCAAGCGGAATGTTGATTGTCCGACTCCGAAAGCCAACCCTCAACCCTGAGACTTCTAACCCCTAAACCCTAAATCCTAAAGGTTATCAGTAAGTTGGCTTTGGTGGGCCCAACCTCCAAAACAGACACACGATAGCTAGAGGGTCCTAATTTGTGGGGTTGGGGTTCCCAAATCCCGCTTGCGTTCAAGTCAGCCCAGCTCTCCATTTCATTTTCCGCTTTATGTTCCATATGACTTTCGATGTCGGTAAGTAATTTTGCACCAAAATTGAAGCCCTAAACCCTAAGTAGTAGTTTCCATTTTCGTTTCCATTATCCCAATATAACCCCAATATACACCCTATAATTCCCATAATATAACCCCCTGTTACTTGCTGACCATGAGGTACCATGAAGCCGGAGCCACAGTTCGACCTGCATAGGCAATATAGGGGTTTCCTAAAATTAGGGGTACCTTTTTGGGGGTCCCCATAATAAGGATGATCATATATTGGGGTCTATATTGGGGTCCCCTTATTTTGGGAAACTACCATATAGTATAGTCTCATTTTCTGGTACGGATAGCATCAGCATGTGGTAGTAGACCTACCTAGGAGGTCCGAGACTAAGGAAGGGTGCTGTCATACCAGTTACCATTCCTCTGCAGTTCTGTGCAAGCGGTCCTAAACCCTAAACCCTAAACCCTAAACCCTAAACTTCTGTGCTGTGAGATGAAGCCGAGTTCTTGACATTGGTGAGTTTCTGCAGCAACCCGGGAGAGCCCATGGACCGGTCCAGGCACACAGCTTGCTGGTTGTCAAGAGGGGAATGAAGCAAATGGAAGACGAAACTAAAGCTGCTACCATGGACTTTTGGGGATGATCTACGGTCTGGAAACTGCTATCATGGGGTTATATAGGAGATATATTGGGATAATGGAAGATAGAATGGAAACTGCTGTAATGGGTTATATACTATAGGGATCTGATCCGCATCAATCAGTAATACGCACAATGCCAACTGCTGCTCACACAACTCAGTAGTGGCCGTGACTGTTCCTGACTGTCTGTAAACGATACAGGTGCTTCAACCCTAATATAGCCCCAATAATATAACCCTAATGTAACCCCAATATAACCCTAATGTAACCCCAATATAACCCTAATATAACGCCAATATAACCCCATATGACCCTAATATTATCCCAATATTACCCTAATATGACCCTAATATTACCCCAATATAACCCCAATATGACCCTAATTTTACCCCAATATGACCCTAATATTACCCTAATATTACCCGAATATGACCCCAATATTACCCCAATATGACCCTAATATTACCCTAATATGACCCCAATATTACCCCAATATAACCCCAATATTACTCGATATAGCCGTCAGCCTAAGTTGAAACTGCCAGGATAGATGGAAGCAAATTCCGAGACAAAGAGACTCGCCCTAGCCCCGGCTGATTCCAATGGTCTCCCTCAGGTGCATTGCAGGGTAGATGCTGCCTTAAGGAGCGAGCAGCTGAGCTTGAGCACGGATGTCAAACCCCTCAGGCTAATAGTAATGATAATTATCACAATAATATTAGTAACCATGATAATACTAATAGTAACAATAAGGAAAAGAATAGTAATAGTAATAGTCACACTATTAAAAATATTATGAATAATGCATGAAAGAGGTGTTGACGGTTCATCTGCCCGCAACATCGGCTCAAGCATGGTTAGCCGCTTGAAACCTCATCAACGGCTGCTATCGCGATCTCGCCCTCGATCTCTTCGAGCCCTCACATTTCCGTCTCTTTCACTACGAGCCTGGGTTGCTGTTAAGGGATTTAAAGTAAGTAGCCATAAGGGATATATAAATATATATGTAGTAATTAATATAGCCCCCCCCAATATAGTAACTTAAATTAAGTTACCTTTATGGGGATATATATATATATAGTAATTAATATGGTTCCCCTAGTACAGTAGCTTAAAATCAAGTTGAAAATGGGGATATATATATATATAGTAAATAACACGGTTCCCTTATATAGTACTGTAAATTAAGTTCCTTAACAGCAGCCAAGGAGCCTACTATTGGACTCATGGCAGTCCTCAGCTCATGCTACTCTTTCTTCACCAGCTCCACTACGCTCAACATCACGTTGCGGACTCTTACTTTTCTTTTGGGGCCTATTTTTGGGTCTCTATAATAAAGCTTTAGCTTTTTTAGCCCTGGCTATTGGGGAAGAGAGGACTATGGTCCTGGCGGCATTGACTTCCATGCTCTTCAACGCCATTGACCTCCGCCTTCCCGTTCCAGCTGCAGTGGAGGAGTTAACCGTTGTGGTGGTTCTCCTCTTCCTGGAGCTTGGCTTAAGCAGCCGCCGCCAGGAAAGCAGCACCAAGAAGACCAAGCCGTGCCTAGGGGAGCGGCGCGAGAAGTACGAAGAGGTCAGTGGCCTCGCAGGAAGACTTCAGGCAGCAGCCAAGGCCGGTGACACAGACGCAGCCGAAGCCGTGATGGAGAGGATCCTCGCAGGCGACGGCAAGCCCAGCCTGGTTTGCTATGGAGCCTTAATCTCGGCCTTCGCAAAAGCGGGGGATGTGAAACGCGCCGAGTACTGGCTTGAGGCTCTCGAGGCCTCAAATGTTGGGAGCCCAAATGGCATCTGCCTGAACATGCTGATCAGCGCTTGTGCCAAAGCAAACGCTGTTGATCGCGCAGAATACTGGCTTGTAAAGATGCCATCGCTGGGGCTGAGCCCAGATGTGATGAGCTACAACGCTGTGATCGATGCCTGTGCACGCACGGGGGATGTGACTCGCGCGGAGCGCTGGCTTGAGAAGATGAAGGCTTCCGGCACCACCCCCAATGTTGTGAGCTATAGCTCTGTGCTTCATGCTTGCGCCCGAAGCTGCGATGCGAGCCTTGCCGAGCGCTGGCTGGAGCGCATGTCCAAGGAAGGGGCCGAGCCAAACGCTATCTGCTACAACGCCGTGATCAACGCCTGGTGTAAAGAAGGCAACACTCGTCGCGCAGCTCATTGGCTTGAGCAGATGTCTCAGCGCGGTGTTCAGCCTACCGTGAACAGCTACAGCACCATCATTGACAAGCTGGCAAAGGCCGGAGACATCGACGGTGCTGAGACTTGGCTTACTCGCATGGCCGAGGCCGGCGTCGAGGCTGACGCCGTCAGCTACAACATGCTTTTCAGCGCTTGCAGCAAGATGGGTGATTCTGCACGCGCCGGCAAGCTCTTCGATCAGATGATGCAGCGCAAAGTGACTCCAAACACAATCTGCTTCAACCTGATCATTAATACCCACAGCCGTCAAGGCGACTTCTATTCCGTTCTCAGGCGCCTGCGGCAGATGCGGGAGCAGGGCATTCAGGCTGACCGTGTTAGCTTCAACACCAGCCTCAAGGCATTCTCCCGCTGCGGGGACTGCAAGGCAGTGGACCAGCTCTTGGATGAGATGCTTGCCGCAGGCATCAAGCCGGATGTTGCCGCTTACAACACCTTCATCGCCGTGTGCCTGGGTTGCTGTTAAGGA